TTCCACTCCGATTCCAGCAAAAATCATTCAACTGATGCTAGAGTCCCAACTGTGAACCTGTCCCAAGCTTGATGCATTCACTTTGCAACTCCCTTCTGGTGCACGGGTCTTGCAACCTTCTAGTCCACCAGAGGGAAGTTAGCCTGTGATCGGCCGTAAAGAGTACCCAGAGTACCCTTTGCCAAAAGCGGCGCCGCGCGCTGAGCACTTGCACAGCCCGGCCTAAGCTCAGCGTATGCGGTGGCGAAGGATGCACGGCAGGTCCTTGGAAAGTGCGTCCGTGGCACGTGGCCTGGCAACGGAGTCCGTGGTGCATTCGATTTGCCTGAGCTGCGGCCAATGCCGGCACATTCGACCGACCCCACCGAGGATTGCTGCACATCGCTCCGCTTCTGTTGGCGGCTCACTAGCAACGCAAGCAGTGTAGCAAATCTACGACATTGCTTCCAAGAGCCTCAAAGTTGCGTACCCCTTGGCAAACAAATAAAAGTGCACACCGTCGACATGGCCAAGCAACATCTGGGTTTAGCTTGCAGTCGTGACCGAGACAGGACTAGTAAAGGTCAGACAAGCGCAATATGGACAAAGTGGAATTGAAGAGGCTTGCGCTGCACGACCCAGAGCACGAGAAGTGCGAGCTTGCCCAAGTGACAGCTGACTTGATGCTATGTGCCTTCTTCGATGGCTTTCGGCGGGCAATCTGGAATTTCATGAATCCAGAGCCTCGGTCTTGTAAAAACCCTTAACAAATAAGTCGGAGTCGAAAGCGGACCAGAGGAAGGATCTTGCGGATCTTCCCTCGGTGGGGGGCTTGACGATGATGGCGGTCAGTGTCTCTGTATGTGTCTGTTCGCAATTTTTCGCAAGGACCTGACTGGTCCGCCACGTCTCCTTCCTCGGCCCCGAGCCCGTGATGGTGAGAACTGGAGCCGTGCAAGATTGAGGAGGCGTGGGTCAGCCAAGGTAGAGTGCACGAGACCACCGCGAAGAATGCACCCCATTGAGGCGTAGGCTATTCTTCTAAGACTGACCGCATCCAGCCAGCAAAGTGTGCCTTGAGGGCTTAAGCCGGCTGGCTACAGGAGTGTTCAATCTGCCTTTGTGTGCTGCTAGAATCGGGGTGTGACATCCCATGGCTGTACGTAAGCTGACCAGTCCTTGCAAGACAATTGACATGGTTGACATGCCACATACCTCAGAACCACCAAGGCCTACTTCAGTAGCAATAGCCTTGGCTTGGCCTCATGCAGCTCACTCCCGAGAATCTCAGGTGTGGTGGTTGAAACAAAACCTGATTAAACACCACACCATAAAAGGGTCGGGCAAGGTACCCCCCACGCCCGCACCCCTCATCCAAGCCACCGGGCGTAGCCAGGGATGCGCGAACGTGCTGCCACTCGCAATTTCACCTCTAGTCAATTAGTGACACACAACCTTGCGCTCGCTGAAGCCTGTGTCCCGTCATGAAGCTGTGACACAGTACATGGCATGGGCGAGGGCTTGAGGGAAGAGATGTCGCGACATGAGAATAGGGAACTGCGCCCACAGTCTACAATCTACAACGGCCCATCAAGTACTGGTAAAACCAAGCTCTGTGCAACTCCACGCGGCTTTGCAAAGCACAGGCAGAAGCCGATCTTTGTCACTGAGGGCTCAGCAAGCTTGCATGTAAGATATGTAAGAAACAGAACTTGAAAATGAAAGCACCATCAAGCAAATCTCGAAATCACTGAAAGCACCTTCGTCCGCACAAATGCGAGAGAGGGAGCGCCAAACTCACCAAACCCACCGCCCAAAACACAGCGATGCAGCAAAGTATCCTGAGGCTCACGGGTAGCCACGCACATCGTTTCTGTCAGACCAACATCTGCACTGACAGCTAGGACTACGCTGAGCAGTGACAGATCCCTCGCAAGGCTGAAAATAGCCCTCTTAACATTGACAACCAGTCAAAACCAAGCTCACCGTGGCGAAAGTGGCGAGGGCTCACTGCTGTGAGGGCTGCAAGTGATCAAGACGATCTTACTTTGCAGGCTGCAAGGCTACGCATCCCGGCCACCCATGCTCGCTTCTGAACTTGAGATATGGTCGGGGGAGGTGCGAGAGTCAGACAACCAGTTGAAGTACCTGAGGATAGAAGACTCTGTGCTGCTTTATTGAGACATCGGGCTCAGGCTTGAGAAGGGCCTGAGACCAATTTTAGGCATGCTGTATCCACATCCACGCAACCAAGCGTCATCGGTCATCACTGTACTCAGCCTTGAGCAACGACGGGGATGAGCTGACAGTGCTGACAGTGCTGACAGTGCCTCGTGACGGCCCAAGACGCCGTCCAGCCCAGGCGACACTACTCCAGCTCAAGCGGCGAGCCCAAGTCATGGCATCCGTGGCGATGTGACGTGGGAAATGACCGCAGGCTTCTGAAGAGCTGTCAACGACCCTTTGAACACGAACTGGCAAGGTGAAGGACATGCCGGCTTGCGAAGGATTTTTCGCCATCAAGGGTGTGGTCGTCATTTGCCATTCACGAGAGCCACAGCCGACCCACATGCTGTAGCAACACAGGTTTGGCTCTGTGATAGCAGGAACGCGTTCCTTCTGCGTAAAACGAAAAAGGTAGGCATCTAGCCAAAAGGGACCTTTGAGTCTGGATCCGACCAAGTCTCTACTTGGCAACGCCGCTGTCCGATACCTTCCGAGCTCGAATTGCGACTCGAGCAACGTAGAGGCGATGCGGGCCACCTGCAGAATACTTCTGAACAATCATGCTGAGCTACTGCTATAACTGACTTGTGTGCTTAATCCGCCGAGGCCTTGGGCCGTAGGTGTATGGGGAGCACAAAGCAAGCACCCCACCTCTAATCCCCTCCACCACTTTTTTGGCTAATGACCCGGTGGAGAGCTCAAGGCCGTGGTTGCGGTCCACATGCTCAGGGGGGGGCTGCGCTGGGCCAGGCCGGCGGGAGCGTTAAATTCCGCCAACGCACAACGGCCCCCTTTTTTTGCCTGGAATGCCCCCGTAGGTGATCGGGGTCTGAGCAGACGGTTTGCCGGGACCAGGGGCCCCCACCCCCCCCACACCCCCCCCCCCACTGCACCTCCCACGTTGTGTTGTATGGGTCAAAACAGTTTCCTCACTGCGTGCAGGCGAGAGGTGTTGCGGCCCCCCCAACGTCGGCCCCCTCTCCGGGAGCTGCATTGGGCCAGGCCGAGGCAGGTCGCGTAGCGTTCAAATTATGTCATCGCTGTTTCAAGACTCTGGAGGTGGCATGACGCTGGCATGACGCTGCCTTTTTCATCTTGCAAACATGTCAATACTACGTTGGCTATCAAAACACTCTGCTTCAACCAGCACTGCACCTTGCCCACGTGTGCACACGAGCATGATGCAGAAACTCCTAAGCATGTAAGCATTATTCTACTCCCTGTCCTGTTGTTCAGCATGAAAAAAGTCATGACTCGTGATGATGATTTGTCATGACGATTGCGGGCCATCTGCCCACGGCTGCTGCATGCAAAAGAACGCAACTCCCCTCCACCGTGTGAGCACAATATTACTAATAGTCAGCAATCATGATAACACTCACAAAATTACCCATATCAACATGCATCCATATCAACATGCATGAAATTGTAATATTAACTGTATTTGGGTGGAGTAATGTGTCGACCATGCAAGCCATGAATAACTGCACATGCACATGTTGTGAACTTCACGACTCTGGAGTCGTCTCCCAGTTCAACCTGCGAGAAGACCACGAAGACCCCTGCTTGGATGTGCTTGGATGTGCTTGGATGTGCTTGGGCACTGGCCGTGTTGTTGAGGTCACGAAGGCAGCGCTCCGCAGCTTTCTGCGCATGCCCTGGCAGTAACGCGGCATCCAAGTCCGTGGTTACAAATTTCATAAACACCACACAGACACGCTGAAACATGATGAAACTACAAAGCATGACATGTTGCGTAGCACATGTCATTCAAGACCTTGTGCGGTTGCGTGAACCTTGTAGCCCTGAGTTTGGCGCACGTTTTGCGAATGAAGTAGTGTCTAATGAGACAAAGGTGCTTGGTCCAGGCATCGACCGGCCTTCAAGAAGCCATGACATGTCCGCTTCGGCTCCAGAACTGAGAAATCTGATTGACTGCAGTGAGACCTGTGAGACCTGTGAGACCTGCAAGGCTGTAAACAATGAAGACCTCTTTGAGAGGCAAGCTATGTTTCGCAACTTCAGTGCTCGTGCTGACAACTACAACATCTCACTGAATCAATGCCTCGATTTGGTGTCGTGAAATGGCTCTCATAAGGATTCTAAGCTGTAATCGTTGAACTCAAGTCTTGCAGCCCTCCTCCGACATGCTCGTTATCACAAGCTTCCATTGGCCTTGAATTGTAGTCAGAATGCAGTCACAACACTCTGGCTCAACAGTAGCAGCCTGTCTAGGAGCACCCAACAACTTCCACTCAAGACATTCAGAGACCGGCCGAACGTCAGCACTGTGTCGAGTCAGAATACCATAGTGGAAGGCGCCCAAAGCTCCACGGGTTCCATATGATTCCACAGGGATGGCAGTGAAACGCACGAAGTTTTTCCGCTTCAACGCAGACGCGCTGTTAGCCCTTCATTGAAAGTAATTGCAGGAAGCACGCCTGTGCCGGATCATTGGTACATCGGGGGTCAAGAACGTTAGCTATTGAACACCTTTCGATGATTCCCATGCAGTATGTAGTGTATGATACGGCACACGAGCTTCTTTACATCACGCCGGCCCTGATCGAGTAAAGCAACAGCCGGAGTCGATGCCTCGGGCTTGGTTTAGACCAGGTCCTCGCCTACGATTGACAGGCGATGCACCTGAGTCTGCTATGTCTGATACCTGTACTGTACATAAGTACTTTGTCTGCTGGTACTTTGCCCGGCCCTAACTGAATTCAACTACCTTGGAACATCGCTGTTTAAACATTGCTGCAAACACACTGTATCACACTTACACTGGGCTCCATTCAATAGTAGACGTCGATGGTGGCAAGCTTGAGCTCCCGAGCCAGGAGTGCTTCGGCCTGTGGCAGCACTCCGCCGCTGAGCGTTTTGCTCAAGCCGTCCACAGTCGAGTACTTCAAGCGCTGCGGGGCCCCAAGTTCCCAGGTGTTCTTGCGGCCGGCATTGTGATAGGTCACCTTCGTGCAGCCTAGGAACGTAAAGGACACAGTGCCATCCTCCTTGAAGAGCCAGGAGGGCAGCGCCGGCTCCAAAACCAACTCCAGCGATCCTATGCCATTCGAGATATTCGAGCGGAAAGGTTGCGGTCCTGCCAGCATCAGTGTCCACATCGACATCATCTCGGCGGTGGAACCGGAGAGGCGCGCCACAAAGCCAGTCCCATGGAGCCGCTTGTCTGGTAAGGCTGTGGAAGCAAGGAAGGATGAGGCCTCGAGAGGGGAGCGGCCATAACGCTTTACATCCATGAACGGCACCAAGCCCGTCTTGATCTCCTCGAAAAACTCTGTGAAGAGGCGGCCGCGAAGCAGCTCGAGAAGGTACTTGTAGCTCATGTGCAGCCAGATTGACTCATTCTCCAGCCAGCCTGGCGGGAAAGCGAGCATGCGGCCGAGAGACAGCGGTTGGCCCTTCAACGACTCGCAAACCTTGTACATCTTCAGCGGTGTGTCATAGAGTGGGCTGCTCTTCACCTGCTGGTACACCTTCAGGCAATCCTCTCTGTTTTCCGTCACTTTCAGTTGACGCACAAAGGCCTCGAGGAAAAGAGGATACACAGTCGGCACCTCAAAAGACAATGGGATGGCAACCTTGCCGCTAGCGTCAGTATCAACCCTGATCTCTGCCTTGTAGGAGAAATAGCAAGGAGTCATGCCTTTTCCAAACTTCAGAGCTCGCTTAATGCCATGCTCCATCTTTGCCACCATCTTGTCCAGCAGAGAGGCCACTTGGCTGTTGCTCCACGATTGCTTGCTTCCACAAAACGGTCCCATGATGCTCTCGTTGTAAGCCTCGCGCGCTGTGCTCACGGCGTCCCAGTAGGTAAAGTCGGCTTCGGGCACTTTGCCGGTCGTGATGTTCTCTGACTCAGGCGAAATTAAAGAATAGTTTCCCAGCTGTGCCTCCACCTGCTGCAGAAGCGTGTGCATCTCCGATGGTACCTCGAAGTCCTTGTTGGGATAGCGTTGCAAGACCTTCTTCAAGTACTTAAGCACGCGAAGTGTCTCGTAGCTCTCTGGCATGGTCGAACCGAGAATGCCGGGGAGGCCGTTCATGGCGTCGTTCCACCCTGGCTTTCCGGTCTCCATCTGGATACCCATGCCGAGAGGGTCCAGCGTGGCGAACTTTAGAGCCCCGATCATGAGCAGCTTGGATCCAACCTGAGAAAGAAGACAACAGACATTTAGAGAATCCAGATCCTCAAAACAAAGGTGAAACTTCTGAAGCCGGCAACCAAGGATGGGGCCGAGACAACCATGGGGACTCCTTTCGCATCCAGGTGCCATGCATTGTTGTTGCCAAGTGGATCCTCGACAAAGCCATTCCCACTGCGGGCGGCCGTCATAAGCTTCTCGCGAGCCTTTGTGATGGCTTCACCGTCCAAAACAGCATCTGCCTGGATCACCGTGCCATCACTGAGCTTTCTGTACTTCTTGGCACGTGGCTGCACTGTGGAGGGTGACAAGAAGAAAGGGATGGGCTCAAGGCCAAAGAGCAGCTCCGACTCTTTGTCTGGATAAATGGTTAGAAAGTTGTCCAGGAGGTCCATGTTGTAGGTCCAGTGGTCAGACCAAAAGCCGTTCTGGTTGTACTTTGCCACGGGAACTTCCTGGGCCTCCCGCGCAAGGAGCTGGAGGAAATCCTCGCGGGAGAGGCTGCTGCCGATCTTCTCCAGACTGCAACCTTGCTGTTCCATGGCCTTGAAGAGGTCACCAGGACGGAAAGGTGACTGGAGCAACTTCTTCAGCACATCTACTGCTGGCCCAGCTGTCGGTGTGACCCGTGCCAGGAAATGGCTCAGGTTGCTATCTCCTGGCATCTTGAAGAGGGGTGTGGCCACTGACAAGGGGTTGTAGCCGTCTGCCTGGATGAAGGAAAGGAATTGACGCACATTGAAATCCCGAACACGTGGCTCGAAGAACACGTCAACTCGCCTGTTCTGGTTCACATCCCGGTAGTTGCCGGGTCCCTGTGAAAAGTAGGTGAGGTCGAGTTGGAAGTTGTTGTAATCTCTCTCCATGTCTCCGTGGATGCGGCTGAAGCAATGATACACCTTTGGATGATCAGTTGCACCGTTCCCGAGGTCACCGAGGATGTGCGGAAGCCCACCTCGCAGCAAGTTGTCCCAGAAGTTGAAGCTGATGTATTGGTTGAAGAGAGGGGATGCCGTTTGCGTTTCGACTTTCTTGGCCAAACTGGCTGGGATGCTTCTTGCCTCTTCCATCTTCTTATCGACAAAGCCTGGCTTGCAAACCTTTGGGATGAACTTCTCGACAGCCTGTGTCACATTTGAGGCATGGCCGTAGATGGCAGTAATCGTCACCTTTTGCCCTGGTGCCAGGGAACGAGTGGCGGCTGCAAGAGCGCAAGGCGTCCGAGCACACTTGCATTGGTCGCCTGCAGCCAATGCCTCTGGCGAGGTGGATGGAGAGAAACCATGAGGGCATCTAAAGGACGTGTCATGCTCAAAAACCACCGCAGGGTCGACCACAAAAGGCAACAGCTTGTAGTCTCCATCAACAAAGGCCACAACGAAATGTCCATCTTCGACTCTCTTGACTTGTGCGATGTCTGCTGGGTCGGTGCTGATGTGGAAGAACGGTCGTCTCGTGTCACCATCTTCCGTGTTGTAGACATTCTTCCAGGCTTCCATGGTTCGACCCATCGTGACTAGGTTCTCATGCGGAATGCCTGTAGGCTCCAGCTTCATGAGACCGTCCAACAGGCTGATCTCAAGATTTGTGTCGCCTAGATTGGTGAAGGTGACCTTCCGCACCAGGGCAGGAAACTCTTCATTCGGGACGGTGAAATAAAGAACCTCTGTTGCGAGACCGACATCCTTGTTGATCTCGCGGATCTCCATCTCGTTCATGCCAATTAGCATGTCCCTCTCCCCCTCACCCTCATTGAAGAAAGGCTGGTAGGAACGTGCCGGTAGGCCAGGCCGCTGCAGATTCATCAATGTCCGGAAACCATGGAAGGGGGTGGTGCGATATGCTGCCTCTGCTGATTCAAACCTCATGATAGGCCCGTCCTTGTTCAAGATGCCAAAGCATGAGATTCCCTGTCCACGGTTCACATAGAACGTCCACATCGGCAAGCCCCAAAAGCCTCCGACACCGGGAAGGAAGGAACTCATCGGCTTGGTCTTGTCGAAGCCTCGCAGGACAAAGCGGCCCAAAGCGTCGAAGTCATCCGAAATCTTGCCCGCCACGGCCACCATGGCAAAGAACCACTGCCGGGACTGCTGACTGATGGTGCCGAGTATCCCTACTGGCTTGGGGCTTCTGTCTGCGACAACACAACCCGCGGTCAAGGCATGCAGCACATTGCAGCACGGCGTGCAGCAACTGCTTCCAGCAGTGGAGAATCCTAGCGGTCGACTGTATGGGAGATGGCACAGCAAGACACAGCAAGGTCGCAGGTCATGGGGTTCTCTAGACTCTGCAATTGAAAGACGAAAACCAGTGACGTGCACAATGCTGCACCCCCGCATCCATATACCGCCGTCGGGACACATTCCGGCCGAGGGGAGCCTCATGTTTGGCATGCTTGGGTCTTTCCTGCTTACATCTCCTTAGCTTCTTTACTTTTTCTAACAGGTCACAGTACCGCCTCGCGATCCATCCAACCTCACAGCGAGCCTGCTCCGGTTGAGCAGTACTGTAAGGCTCGCTGTTATTTGCAGCATGGCTGTACACTGTACACGACTTTACATCGAGCTGCTTCGAACAAAATGTTTGCGGCCTCTGTCAGCTCGTCTGATTGTTCTCCCGATCCGTCACAGAAGCGCCATGCCCCAAAATGCGCCAACCATGAGGAGATTGCGGCCCAGGTGTTGATCAGTGCATCGAGGAGAAATATGAAGCCTCGGATGTGCAGAGGGCATCATGAAAAAATGACAGCATAGCGCCCACGTGTGCGAAAGCTCACAAGACTTCTAGCCCAAGGATGTCCCTAATGACGCCCGCGACACGTCAATGCCCAAAGTTAGACTTGAACCCCTAAATCCTAACTCCCTGGACCTCACATGTCAAGCCCCCAATCACTCAACTCCAAAGGCCATGCAAAAACTCCTGCCCCGACAGAACCTCATCTACTGAAGGACTGGCCACCAACAACCCCCTGATCAGGTTCCAGCAGCTGAGACTCAAGAAGCGAACCAGTCACGAGTCAGCACTACTACTCGAGTGCACGAAACTTTGCACGCTAACAGCAATGGATGACCGGCTCGCCGTTATATATGTTTGTAGGATGCAGGGGATCTACTGCGAGAAGGGCGCAAGGGATGCTAAGACACAGCCTGGCTACTTTTCAATCGGGCAAGCACCCCGTGCTGCACCCGTTGCGGGCGCCGTCGGCGAGTTGATGAACATGCGCAGCCTGTGCAGACTTCGTCACCAGATGCTCGAAGTTGATTTTCAGTGCAGCTCGATGCCAGGGATCGCATTCACAGACGCAGACTTGCACGGATGTTCTCCACCTGTTCTACAGGCAGCAACGAGAACCCTGTTGCATTTAATTTTATTTCCAGTTCCCCTTGGATTCGCAAACTGCGGTCCTGACAGGCTGTGGGAGTTGGAGTGCATGATTTCATAAGCCACCGGGCGCAGATTTGGAGCATGCAACGTGCCGACGTGCTGCTCAAAAGCAACCTCCTGAAAGCCTGCCAGCTGGGCACGCACTGAAGGCGTGGAAGATGATGAAGACGTACACTCCACTGTGGCTTGGACGAAGCTGACTTCTCACCCGTCTGGGACGAACTCTTCCCAAAATTGCTCCTGACCAAGGACCCACTTTTCCAGCTGTTGACTGGTCGCTTCATCCAGTGCTGTCAACGACTTCAGGCAGTTGCACAAGTCAGCAGGAAGATGCATAAACACCCGATGTGTACATCCCCGTCGATCTTCAAACGAAAGATGATACCGGTGCAGGAAGTTGCGTGGGCAGATGCCAAGGTCGGCACCAAATGTTGATGCAGTTGTGTACTTGCCGTCACTTGCAGTGGGATGGCCAACAAAAGCGAAATGACTTCGAATCTGGTGCAGTCGTCCTGTCAGTATGCGTACCAGAGTGAGGCTGAATGCCATGCCCTCAGTGTTGCTTGTTCTGGCAACCACGTGTACCAAGGTGCGAGCGGCTTTCCCCTGAGCACCAGCAGTTGCTACGTCGTTCAGCTGTAACCGCACTTGAATCTCACTGAGATGCTTCGGAACATGCCCATGGCAAAGGACGACATAGTCTCGCAGAAGTCGGCCACTTACCAGTTGAAGCTGTAAGTCATACAGTGCGGTATACGTCGAGGCAGACAAGATCAATCCTGAGCTTGGTATATCTAAACGATGAAGAAAGCCGAAAGCGTGTTCTGGATCCTGGTGAATTGGCAGCTCTCCCAGCAATGTCTGAATGTAAGGTAACATCTGCAGCTTTGTATCGCCATACACTTCCCAACCGGCTGGCTTCGCGGTGACAAGGCAATCTGATAAAGTCAGCACTACTGCTGGAGAAGTTAGGTGGCGATCCAGGGTACTGTGGATCGTACGAGCGCCAGAGTCTTCTGACAAGCTGACAACATCCAGGAGCGATGCCAATCTACGAAAGAGCTGTCGAAAGCACACGAAGACACGATGGCGCACAGGCACGGCAAAGTTCAGGGCCCATAGTATGCCAACAAGCTGTTGCAAGATCACTTGCGGAGCAGTTTCTTCCTGACGCTCAAGCGCCTCAGCCCTCGAAGTCACTTCAAACTGAAGTGCACGGAGAAACTGCGCGTCAGCAGCAGTGGTACAGGCACCCATGGCGACAGCAACCAACTCTTCAAGCGTGAACCTTGACAACAGCCGGGTGCTGTGAGTCTCCAGATGCCTTAGCATCTCGGAGTGGTGGAGGCCAAGCGAAGCAGTAGCCCACCAAAGCTTGGAAACTTCGGCACACGTCAACATCCGCGTGGCCACTTGCCGCAAGACATCTGCAAAGCAAGAACTCAAATCCGTCAAAATAGACATCTGTGCCATTGCCCAGAAGCGCATTATGCACGAAATCTGCTTGGCACCGTCCAAGATGCGCCTCCCAACCTGTAGCTGCAAAGAGTGCTTGCAGCAATCGATAGCTGATGAGAAGGCCACATCCAGCTCAAGGCTCAAGGAAGCCATGTGCTCATAGCTCGCCACGACTAGCTGCCATTGCTCCCTACACGCAGCCACTATGCAATTGTACGAGATGGTATCTGCTTTGTAACCAGCAGAACCCATGTCGCTCAACGTGCTCAAAGCTGTAGGCCAGAGCACACCTCTGCTCGCCAAGAACGAGTTCCAAACAACAGTGTCACACTGGGAACATCTTGTAGAACGATCGAGCAAAGCCCGCACCAGTGACCATTTCCCTGATTGACTCGATCGACATGAGCTCATTGCGCTGCTATACAAAAAGGCATCCATGCTGATCTGCTGCAAACCGAACTGGTGAACCAACGCCATGACCTTGCGCCACCCCGCTCGTGTCGTAGACTCACATAACACACCACTCAGTTTCAGGTCAGGCTCTCCGTTCGCCTCTTGAAATCGCATGAGAGCAAGAACAAGCGCTCGCCACCTCACCTTGCTTGCTGCCGATGGCAAGTACTGCCTCCACAAAGGTGTCGACTGCAGCCTGCCAAGCCTGCTGATGAACTCGAGGGCTTGCCGCCATTGATCTGTACTTGCAGAGATGATGGGCTGCCACACTGAGTCAGGTTGCACGGTGTTTAGCATTGTGCTTTTGTACAAAGTAATGGCCCTTAGCCACATCGTTGCGCTGGCGCATGTTGATATCCACGACGTGTAAGTCGAACGATCGCATGAGACACCCTCCTGCATCATCAAGGCACAGGAGGCACAAGCTTGCTGCCAGCCCACCCAATTGGCGGCGACAGACTGTAAGCCGGTTGTACTGGAGTTCAGCTTGGAGCTTTTGGACCTTGCTTCCGATGTTTGAAGAAGTTGTGTACTGCGTAATCTACTGAAGGGCTAAATCTAGGAACCAAGGTTATTGAAACTCGGCAGTCAGAAGCCTTGTACGACCCTGAACATGCGGATAGGTGCAAGTATTGCCATCAGAGAACTGCTGGAGGTGCGACATGTACCGCGAACCAGCTGGTAGGCAAATCTAGCAGTTTGTATCCGTGTGCGTGTGTGCACGTGTCCAAGGTTGCATAGTGTACAAATGTCAGGGGTGATGTTAGAAATTGCTTTGGTTGCTTTGCTTTGGTAAGGTTGGCGCTGCACCTCAAATTCTCTTAACTGCCCGATGGGAAGCGGAAACCAAGACGAACCACCGGGAAGTTTGTGACGTGGCACACATTTGAGTCAAGATACATCGAGATCAGCAGCAACGCATAGCGCCAGGACTGGCTAGCAAGGGAACTGGCCACTGTCTTCTCGGTCAGCGCATCTGGAAGGACAGCGTCTTCCTGAATCGATGCACGCTGGCATACTCTGAATGAAAAACCACCCAGGCCGAAGCGCCAACAGCTAGCCGTCACTGCGAAGAATCGACCGACTACTCTGCAAAAGTATACTGTAGCTTTGAGTTCGGGTAGAACTTACAAGATATGGAGAGCTATCCGCGAATCTGCCAAAGTGCAAACCCCGCGAATCCGCCAATCCGTGAATCCACGAATCCGTGCGCCCGCGAATCCGCGAATTCGCCAATTCATCGTATATTGGCCCCACAGACTCCGCGAATCCGCCAGTCTTCCCGAATCCGCGAATCTGCGAAATCTGTGCGCGGATCTGCGAATCCGCAGGCGAATCCACGAATCCACGCACGAATCCGGGAATCCGCGCGGCTGTGCGTGAATCCGTGCATCCGAGTGGAAGCCCGTGCATCAGCGAGTCCGTGTGGCAACCCATGAGCGAAAGCCCTTTGGTTCCCGAAGCCCTATATAAAACGAACCTGCTCCTTTAAGGCCTCGCAAACCCGATACTGGCCCTTACCCCCAACAGCTGGCGGCTGCGGCCAGCATCCGACATCGAAGTAAAGTGCTACACAAGGCATGTGTCCGAAATTGAGAAATCGGGGTTCATCAGATATGACATGCACCACTGACTTGGCGCGTGCTGGGGCTGATCTTGGGTGTTCGACAGGAGCTTGTGTTGCTTCAAGGTCTACCGTTCACGCGTGAGAGCCAATATCCGCCCAGGCGCGAAACCAGGCTCTGCGCACGATCCGCGAACGCGCTCGCGTGTCTGGGAATCCGCGAATCCAGCAGTCCGCGGATCCGTCAAAACATTGTTTTGATTAGGGTGTCCTTTCAATGCCGACTAGAAGATATATCTTATAGTGACCTCGTGCGCGTTTTTGTATCCCGGTGCCGCATGCCGGGGGGTGGCCCAGGGCCTGACCAGGCCGGGCTCACCCGTTTTTTAACAAAACGACATTTTATACGACTTATCGGCATTGAGTTGACAGGACCAATTTTTTATATCTAGTTACAGTAGAGCCCCCCCCTGCCCAGGCCGAACTAGATGAATGAAGACTCTGGATGAAGTTACGTCGTGAGATGGCAAAACACAAGTACAACATGATACATGCTGGCCTGGGCTAGAGGGAACCCCAGGCCCAGGTGTGAGCCCCTATTGGGACCCGACACCCTTCCACGGGCCCCCCTTCTTCAAAACGATGTATATAAAACTTAACCGGGGGTTTGGGCTCGGGAAATCATCTACACACAGGGGCAATTTCTAGAAAGAAAAAAAGCATCGTGGGGCAAAAAGGCGCCCCACGGCATCGCAGGGCTATGTGCCCTGCGGGGGGCCGAAAAGGGCCCGTTTTTGGTCGCAAGCAACATGAGCATCAGCATCATCGGCATCATCAGCGTCCTCGGCATCATCGGCATCATCACATAACGACTACGTGGACCTGGAGGATCGGGTCTTAACATTAAATGCATTGCCTGTCTCCCTGAACCCTCCACGTGCGTCGTCAAATGTATCGCGTGGGTTGTCTCAAACTATTTTTTTACTGCGATCGCACAGACAAGTGACATGGTTGAAGTTGCACCTGTTCCAGGAGAGCAAATTTGAAGAAACATGCAACATGTCTGTGATTTTCTGATTCATCAACACAGTCCCGCCACCACCGCCCCGCCCTCATGCCCTCATGCTTGAGCAGAGGCAAGACAACGCTGTCAGCATAGATCTGTAGTTTTGGGGTTGGGGTTTCCCCTGCTGAGTCTCAGGTCCCCCCCGCTGCGCAGAAACAGTACCGCCTCGAACACCGAAGAACGGGCGGAGGCGTGTTTTTGTTCCTGACGCTGGCGGTCCCTTCTTTTTCCTAAGGGCTTGAATACTATGATTTACGAGGCCTTGGCTGCGCGCAGGCAGTAAAGGCGAGAAATAGTGTGTGAGGCTATTCAGAAATTCGAAGCCCTGCAGTTTACACAAGCTTCGAACGCTGCAATTTACCTTAGCAATCCCCTCGGTTGACAAGCATCCTGACCTGAAAGTCCAGGAAACTTTCAGATCCTGCCAAGATGGTTGTCGTGAGTACTGCAGCTGAGCATCGACCATTGCCTGGTGCGCGCGAAGGGCTTCTTGCCATTGAGAAGAAACACGGAAAGCTGCCACTGCCGAGTTGTAGCTCAGAGCATCTGGCTGCAGGCCACCCTTTAGAAGACCATGTGCAAGCTGCCACTGGCTGCTCCGATGGCATGCACTGATGCCCCGGTTGTATGAGCATGTCCGTGATGCCAGCGCGGAGCGGGCAGCCTCTTGCATCATGAACAAGACAAGCTGCCATGTTGGCTCACCAGATGGCATCGACCCATCCCAGCAAACAGCGTCAATGCGAAGTTTGCTTTGCTGTGCATCGTGCAGCAGAGCAACAGAGCCGGCCCATTTTCTTCCCTTTTCGCATGCCGAAATCACGGTACTCATGTCAATGATGTCTAAACCCAGCCGTAGCGAAAACCCGGAATCCAGAAGCGTCAAAGGCATCACCCAGGTCGCACTTTTCATACATGCAGTCTTACAACTTGAGCAGCTGAGTTCGTCAATGTCGTCCAGTCTGGTGAACATCTGAAGCATCTTCTGCCAAAGGCCAGCTTGTGTCAAGGAGTTCATGGCTGCTTTTGTTGCGATGTCATCCACACACATGCGGAGCACCCCCATTTCCTCCAATTTCTGCAACGCGACGCACCACTCGGCAACACAAGCCTGAATTCCGGCTGTGAAGCTTTGCGAGTCTGGAATGCTACGTGCATCGGAGAACGTGCAGAGAAGTTGCGCGGCCCGTTCCCATAGCATCTGTCGCATGCATGATGAGGTCGCCTGGCCCAGCATCACTCCGCCCACCCTGACAGCCGTCATCTCCAGGCGCTCAAGAAAGTGCAAAGCCGTGACCCACTTCTTGCATGTTGAAAGGACTGTCCCAACACAAACAGTGTCCGGCTGAATGCCTTGAATCCCCACGAGAAACTGCAGCAAAGCCGTGGCATCTCGCCAGCGAGAAGACTTTTTGAGACTCCGAATGCCAAGTGTGTACGTGAATAGATTTGGCCGAGCCAGAAGACTGCCTGCGACGCGGAGAAGCCCAATGGCGTCACGCCATCCTGCACTTTTGGAGTGCTGCTTCAGCTTCAGAGCATCCCAGCAGGTCTCTGTTGTGGGCCCAGTCAGCCGCATCCGTGTCAGCTCGAGAACGCGTGCTCCCGACCACACATCCGCTGCACTTGTGCACAGATAAAGCCCACGGCAAGTGCGACATGTCGCCGCCGGCTTCGCAAGTTCGTGAGAGCATGTCTACAGACCTTGATACGCGTAGACCTTTCGACCTACACAAGGTTCGACATACATGTCATTATATGTTATTATATGATGTCATGTGGCTTCGGTTTTTTGGCGCCTGGAGCTAAATACCTCGGGAGCGAAAAACATGTGGCCTCTCTTGCTCGTGACCCAACATAACTCGACAGTGTACCGCTTGTCAGCTGGCTCAAACACACGTAGAATAAACACACGTAACTTCTGGCTGCCGCTTCTGCAACGAATCCTGCTGTCGAATGGTATGCAATACACATGATAATTCGATACCGACCCCGGTGCAGACATGAAGACACACACTGCCACTTGCCGATGAAGGCCTTGGATACCCATCTCTTTCGCACAGCTTGTGCATCATGCGCTCATGCCCGGCGAGAGATGCGGATGGGCACTGGCATGTGACAGTGCTTTTCGAACATCACCGGCGCCTGTGCCCAACATCCATCACTTCTTTTGATCCACTCTCACATGCGAGCTTGTGAGGTCATTCACTCGTCTTCACGACGGGTGTTCGAGTTGGCTCATGAAAGTTCTGGATCTGCATGCTCACTGCAAAGCCGAAGCAGCTTCCTGGCCAAGATGCTTTCCGACCGCTTCGGCCAGGAAAGGGACGATCTGCTGAAGCCAAACTTCAGTCCTGGCATCCACAATGGCAAAATGATCTGCACCCGCAATCTCCAACACTGAAACTAGCTCCGGCGCAGAACTCTTTGCATCTTTCGCATAGGCTCTGACAAGGTCTGGAGGCACATCAGCGTCGCCGTCTCCATACACCAGGCATAATGGGAATGTCACAGGAAGTAGTGCGGCAGGTGATGCTTTCTGATATTCTTCTACGCCAGGTCCTGTTGGAGCCTGCTTCATGTAGAGCTCTACTGCATCTCCCTCATCTGAGACTTGGAGCTCGTACCCGCGTACCAAGTCCGCAACAGGCGCAGCTGCAATTACGAGTTGAATACCATCCAACCGATGGCCCGCCCAAAGTGCCAAGCAGCCTCCAGCAGAGTGTCCAAGCAAAATGAGCTTGTCATGACAAAGTGATCTCAAAGCAGCTGACAGCTTGTCACATTTGTCAGTTTGTTCATCGTCACCGGACTCGGAATGCCCTCCCCGAGCCCGAGCCTCTCGACTCAAGCGACACACAAACTCTATGGCCATGAGCACATCTTGGTTTGTTCCAGGCCATCCTCCTCCTTCATGGTCTCGTCTCCGGTACTCAACTTCCACGACCGAAAAGCCTCTTGCTAAAAAGAATGGTCCCAAAGACTTCGTGCCAGCATTGCCATACTCATCGTCCAGGCCGAACCTGTTTTTCCAGTAGCCTCCGTGTAGTACAACGACAGTGCCCTTAACGTCGCCTTGCGATGGTGCTTCATGTATGCGAACGAACTGAGTCTTGTGAGTTCCTCCTTCAGCATATGGAAGGTCCCACCATTCTGCATCCATGCCGCAGGCTTCTGGCAGGCTATACTGCGAGTGGCACCTGGCAAGTGCCTGAACGGCTTCGTGCGCATACCGCGCGATGCATGCGATGCTCAGTAACAGCGACTGAGTTCAAGCCCCACTGCCCATCCCCCCCGCCACCGTTGCCTCAACCACCGCCCCCCCTGGCTTGTGTGGTGATGGCAGCAGCGCCTCACCACTTTGTTCTAAGGCTTTGAAGGTTTTAAGCAAGCAACGTCCACCAGCCCGTCTCCAGACTATGCAGCGACGCCAACATCCTCACCTTCTAGAGTCTAGTGTTTCAAGATAGGTTTCAAGCAACACTCAACGCCGAAATGCGAAAGGCTCAACCGCACACCCTATATTAGAACAGCAACAGCTCCTGATCGCCTTCTTGAAAAGTCTTTGTCCCCATCCCCACGACCCTCCCCACTCTCCATACCCCCACCCCGCGTAGAGGACGGCAACATCATCATCTGTCAGGTTGTAGCCAAGGTCATTGGGGACTGAAGCAAAGGCCTTCCCCACCCCCAGAGAACAATAAAACACAGACGTGGGCAAAAAGATCTAAAATGTGAAGTGGACATGGGGTAGTTGTTTGATTCCAGTGCATCTTCAACTTGATTATGTCTTAATATCCTTAGATATACCATAGATATACATATATATATATACTACTACTTTGCAACGAGCATTATCTTTGGGAAATGATAACCATGTGGGAAGCATTGAGAGTGCTCACAGTATTCTCGCATCCCCGGGGCTACAGTACATGACTTTTCCGCATCACCCCATGCTCTCGAATACTTCCTAGTCTTATGCTTCGAGGCTTCTCCATCATCTGTATTTGATATGCAGTGCATATACCCTATATACGTACATGAAGTGGGTACTTATTCTGCTTGTCCTTTGCATTGCCACAGGAGGCAAGCCCTACAAACATAGGCGGAAGCCTGTGGGACTGAAGGTGTAGGATTTAAGCCACAAACCCTCTAATATAGGGTTACAAGGTCCTAATCCTATAGGGTTTAGCGTCATAACCCTAAAGCCTATAAAGTTTAAGGCTTAAGGAGAACAGAAAAAGGAGTTAAATCCCTGAGGGTTTAGGGTTACGTTTTTGCAATGCCCTAAGCCTTAAACCCTAAACCTTTAACCCCTATAGGGTTTAAACCCTAGAGGCATACCCCGATAGGGTAGATACACCTTGAAAAACCCTAAACCTTTCAAACTTGTAGGGTTTAAAGGTTTTGAACCTAAACCTGTAAACCTATGGCGTTTCTCGGTTTGAATACCTAACCCTATAGGGGCCCTATGGGGTTTAAGGCTTAAACCAGTTTGAATGCCCAAACCTGGGTTTAAATCCCCAGACCTGAAACCCGGAAAACCTTATAGGGTTTAAAGGTCTTAATGCCTAAACCTGAGGTACCTAAGGTCTGGGCATTTATACCTTCAGCGCCTATGGGGTTAACACCTTTGAACTTAAACCCTTGAGGAAAAACTCCAATGCCCAAACCTTAAACCCTTGCGGCTAGGTTTGAATGCCCAAACCTTAAACCCTTGCGGCTTAAACTCTATGGCTTAGGTTTAAATGCCCAGTTCTTCAACCCTGAATCTTTAAACCTTAACCCTATATAGCTTAAGGGTTTTGGTTTGAATGCCGGCTTAGGTTTAAATTCCTAAACCTTAAATCCGAACCTTTAAACCTGAACCCTATAGGGTTTAAAGATAAAGGGTTGAGGTTTATTTGCTTCATCTTGAAACAATATAGCGTTGAAAAGTTGAGGGTTGAAGGTTTAACCCTAAACCCTTAGGCTTTAAGGCTTAGGGATTAACACCTGAAACCCTACAGGGTTTCGTGGCTTCTCTTTACAAATCCTACGCCCTTAACCCATGGAAATTTTAGAGATAAGCCCTGAAAGGCCTTTAAAGAAATCAGGGAGCGGAGGGGAGCGGAGCGGAGGGGAGCGGAGGGGAGCGAAGCGCAGGGGCGGGGGGGGGGGGGGGATAGCAGAGGTCCTGGGGCTAAGTTGGAAGAACCCCCCCTCCCCCCCCCCTCCCCCCTCTTATAAGCAACCCAACTGCTTATAAGCAAACCACACCGAAGAAACAAGTTCTTACACGTCACCCTCGGGATATGACGACCATGTTGAATACTAGGCCCGTGAGTTTTGAACTTCAATCCGGAGTTTTGAACTTCAATACTCCTTGTCCCTCATCGTGCTTGACCATTGAGGCCTTGAAATTTAAGTACACTATGCACTCTAGAAACACCAGTAACTAGACAAGATCGTCACACTAAGAAACACCAGTAACTAGACAAAATCGTCACACTATAGTATCAGAATATAACAAGACTGAAGCTTTGAAGTAACGAAGCTCTGAAGTTACCTATCCCCCCCCCAAAACGGGTGGATAACTGGGGGGGGGGGTACCATCATGAATATTTCTCACCGTAGCATCCATGCCCAAGTGCTGAGAACGTCCATGCTACCTGTGCATTCATTGTCCTGGAAAGGCTGGTGGTCTCGACAGCGACGTCGACTACCGAATCCGTTACGGGGGTTCAGTTCAACCAACCAAGTCTGTCTCTTGCAGGCAGACTTGGTGCTGCCGGGGTAAGCACAAAACGGCTTAGAAGCATTGATTTTTTCAGGCTTTCAGCCACTTTTTAAATGTAACTCCTGTGACACATCTGTGCCCTTCGCATGTCAACACAATGCTGTTCCACTCATGCTTTTCCACTCATGACCAACGAAACACGTGGGCAAACGAACTGACTTGCCCATGATGTTGTTGCTCGCACCCCTCCGGCCTCGTCGTCCACTGATGGAAGTCTTTTGGAGGCCCGCTTCCCGTCTTCACCCTCCCCAGCCAATACCAGCCTTGCAGACCTCTGTCACGTTAAAGCGATGCACACAAGCACAGTTCTCTCGTTTTGGACCTGTTCGACACTGACGAGTGTCGAACGGGCCCCCTGTGTGGCGGCCCGGGCCCCCCCCCCCCACCCAACAACCCACAGGGCAGCAGCCATCAATGGCCACTCGTGGACTCCACGGGGCATTCATCATGAACATCACGCGCATGCTTAACCCGCCGGCTGCTGCCGCTGCCCGTCCCAGGACACGAAGCCCTGCCCCGCCTTCCGCCAACTACGGCGAAACCCTCAAATAGGCCCTGTACCTTACCGCCAGCTACAGCGAAGCCCTATTTCCTGGACAGTTACCGCCAATTACGGCGAGATCATATACCTACCGGCCAACTATTGCGAGGCCCTGTCTACCTCCAAAAAAAGCGAAACCCTCCTTAATCGCCAAACCCGATGGCAAGCCAGAACTGGAGTGGCCTCCCAGTTCGCTGCGAGTGTCGATGCTTTTTGTTTCAGTCCATGTCGCATCCATCTAAACTTCCTGCTCACACTC